TAAATATATATATATATATATATATATATATATATAAATACACTTTTTTAAAGTATTTGAGATTTTAAAAACTAGAGGTTGACCAATGTATCGTTTGCCGATTAATCAGCACCGATAATTGATTGCTGGAACTATCGTTTATCTGCAAAAATCCATGCTGATAGTTCTCCGGGTGGCGTCCATTGCTGGTCCGCTGCCATTACACAGAGTGAGAGCATCCTCTAGAGGCAGAATTCACTGACACCACGTGTTGTTTGTTTTGACACGTGAGGCTGCGTGCTGCACGGAGCGGTAAACTTCAGATGTGGATTTAATTGCAGCCGACAGAAAATCCTGCCGTGCCACAGAGCACCATTCACATAGCTTTCCATTAAATTACATTATATATGTCCCAAATCGTTGTTAATGTACATAATGAATTGTGTATTGTGCATTTTCAGTGAAATGTTTATCTTTCTGTGACTCCAATAAAGTCTGTATGGTTAATTTATAGAGCTATTATATAGATTGCGCTTTCTCTTTCTGTTTGCTCTGTTTTTTAAACACTGAACTTCAAACTCATCTATGCCACATTGTTTGTACTTGAAGTAAACTTTTGCCCATTTGGTGATTAAAAAACATTCATTTTTACATTTTAAAGCTTCTTCTGTTAACATTAGTTAATAAACTATGAATGAACGTTAATTATCAATATAATAATTAATATTAATATTTTTATTCATTTACAAAGTATGGTTCAGTACTGTTTATTTAAAAATAGTAAAGCACTATTTTAGTTTTCAATCAGTATCCAGTTTAAAAACGAATGGTTGATTAATCGGTATCGGCCAGTGTGGTCCAACCTAGTTATCGGTATCGGAAAAATCCACTATCGGTCGACCTCTATTAAAAACAAGTAGAAAGTAGTGTGTTGATTGTATATTGTCATTTAACCCAAATGAAATCAACATTTCAATGTAAGGTAAGCAACCCAATTAGATGGATTAGATGAAACTATGTTGGTTTGTTTTTGTTAGAGCAGTTTAGCTAAGATTTCACTCACCAGGCCGAACTTCTATGTTGGTTTGGCCGTGCCCCCTCATGAAGCCAATGCTTCTTAATTAAGTTTTGTTGAAATTAAAACTGATCTTGGTGTTAGTGTTCTTTGCATCTGCTATATTGTTGTGTCCTATAGAAACCTCTACACTTGTGTAGATCTACATAAAGGCACAGTCGAGTTAAAATAATAAAACATAAAAACTGTTCCTGCTCAACATACTTGAGTTTGTCCAGTCTGTATTTTGGATCCTCCAGTTTTTCAGAGAGCAGCTTGACTCCTGATTCTCCTGGGATATTGTAGCTCAGATCCAGCTCTCTCAGGTGTGAGGGGTTTGAACTCAGAGCTGAAGACACATAACCACAGCCTTCCTCTGTAACCATACAGCCAGATAACCTACAAACACAGACAGCAACAGTCCACATTAGTTTGGCAATCAGACTTCACTAACACTCCAGTTGTAGCATGGCCACATAACCAGAGGGTAATTTATATGGTCACAAACAATTAGGAGTTTATTTGCTGAATGCTCATGTCTGCTGATGTTCAGATAAGTGGCATTTACATGTTAGTGATGAATAAACACTCATAACCAGGACATCCTTAGCATTAGTTCTCATTCATTTGACTGGTCAGGTTGGTTCAAGCATCCCTTCTGTTTGCAATGACCAAAATTTTTAACTTATGGATAATAATTAGATGTAATTTTTTTGAGTGATATATTTAATCAAGTGTTAATTTTGTTGACGAATAAATACTAATATTTATGCCTGTCTTAATAGCTTTTATTAATTTTATACAGTATAAAAAATATAAATTCATTTATAATATTTTGTAAAACCCTGGGAAACCTTAAAGCTTCTTGTTGCTTCAACAGATTCATAACAATTCCTATTACAGGTCTGGGAAGATGTTTGGTGCATTTTGCATTTTCAAATCTATGTTTATCCATAGCATGATTTAAAAATGCAAAATATATGGATAACTCTCAGCACTTGCATGAAATGGAGTTTGTGTGAAGTAGCATTTACTGCAAAATGAGTCACTCTAAAAATGTGATTTTCTTGTGTGTTAATAAATATGTGTCAAGCTTCACTCTCAAACAAAATGTGGTAGCATGTTAATTATTTAATGGAAAACAATTTACCTCAGTTTCTCCAGGTTACAGTTTTTCTTTAGTCCATCAGAAAGCAGCTTCACACCTGAATCCATCAGGTCATTGTTACTCAGGTCCAGTTCTCTCAGACAGGAGGCTGACGATTGTAGAACTGATGACAAACTCTCACAAGATTGAGCAGTGAATTTACACATGGAAAATCTGAACAAGAAAATACAGTAATATAAATGTTATATTTTAATTAAACTTAATGTGATTTTTGATGATTAAGTTAATGCAAAAAAATATATAAAAAATGTTCAAATCAAACCTCAGTATCTCCAGCTGACAGTTTGGACTCTTCAGTCCATCAGAAAGCAGCTTCACACCTGAATCCATCAGGTCATTGTTACTCAGGTCCAACTCTCTCAGGACAGAGGACTGTAGAGCTGATGACAAACTTTCACAGGACTGATCAGTGAGATTACAGCCACGTAGTCTGTGAAGACAGAACAAAACAGACAGCCATATTAATGTGTTTATTAGTGTCACAGAGCTTCTCAAACATGGACACATAATTGGTTTTTAAAAAACTTAAATTTTTATTTATTTTGATGTGGCAGCAAGGTAGAGAGCTGTTGGACGCAGACTTATCTATTAAAATAATATTAGTTATGGAAATAAGCACAATTGCCAGGACATGTCAAAACACCTCCAAGGCTCATAAAATCCCTCAGGAGCAACTCCGGAGTGTTAAGTTCATAACTTAAAGGTGCAATAGGTGATTGTCTTCAGAAACATTTTTTGTTATGCTGGTTGAAAGTCTCTTCACATCCCGATAGCAATCATTAAGTTAAGTGGTCTAAATGTATTTGTTTGTATTTATATATTCTGTGGAAGGCATAGGATCAAGAAATGTTCGTTCAATCAAAACGCTCGGTCCGAGCGTTTTAATTGGCTTTCCTACCTGCCTGTCAACGTATGTATTAGCATACCTCTACGCACCGGGTTCGCACAGACAGGATACGTCATCAGCGCGTTCACGCACGCTGTGCAGACAGAGCGAGAATGGCAGACAAACATCAACAACCCCATCTTCCTTCCTGGTATTGTAGTACTTTTAACGTTTTCTCACCTGTGAATGACACATGATGCAGCCCAGCGGTTAATCCAGTCCTTGCGCCAGCTCGTTAGAAGTGAGCTACGTGCATTAACTGTGTTCCGATCGATATGATCCCTACACCGTGTTCATTGCTCCCTACTCCCTGAGCGGGGGAAATCCGT